TGTATGTGTGTGTGTGTGTGTGTGTGTGTCTGTGTCTGTGTTATGTGTGTGTGCATGTGCATATGTGGGGTTTGTGTGTGTGTGGTGTGGTGTGTGTATGTGGTGTATTGTATGTGTATGGTATGTGTGGTGTATGTGTGTGTGTGCATGCATGTGTGGCATGTATTGTGTATATATGTGGTGTGTGGGTGTGGTATATATACATATGTGGTATATATGTGTGTGTTGTAGTATGAATATGTCTTGAGTATTTGCTAGTAGTGAAGTCTAGAGAGAGTTAGACAAACATTGAAAGGAAATCAAATACTCTGTGCCTCAGTGTGCTTCATGTTTCTCATGAAGGGCTACTGTTTTCTTCCATTGCCTTTCACTTTAATAAGTGTGCAGAGCAAACTTGAGTCTATCTCGATTCTATGAATGACTTCAGTTGTAATTTGCTGTACATGTTTCAGTGGTTTATCGAGCTCACGGGTCCAGACACAGAAGCTTTGCAAAGATCCTGCATTATTTATAATCCTCTGTACTTTCTGGGCTCATTTTTAAAAATTCACTATACAGCCCAGGCTGGCCTGCAATTCAGAACCCTGTCTTGTCAGCCTCCCAAATGCTAGAATTATAGACATGTGCCATTTGTCTCCTAGGCTGTGGTTTTTAATTTAAGAAGAAAGATCATGGCCCTGGGTTTGGTCCTTAGCTCTGGAAAAGAAAAGAACAAAAACCATTTATCTTTTAAAATTTAAATTTGTATTTCTTTTCTAAAAGTTTTATACATGTATGCAATGTTTCTTAATTATACCCACCCCTCTTTCTGTTGCTCCTTCTCTGTACAGTACCCTCATTACATCTCACCCCAAAGCTTTGTGTCTTCCATTTATAATTTGAATTAATTTTTTCGAACTTCAGAGTCCAGTTAGTGCTCATGTGGTACAGGGTCATTTACCAAGGCATTGGGAACCCAACATGGGCAACAATCATAAAGAAAAGTGACTGTTCACCTCCTAATGAATATCAACTTCCAATAAAATCCTCAGTTGGGGTGGGGCCTTCGAAGCCCTTCTTCCTCCATGCTGGAAGTTTTAATTGACATGATTGTGTACAGATAATCACAGCTGCTGTTCATGAGTGCAAGAACCATGTTATGTCCAGAGGATAACATTTCACAACATGCGTCACATCTTCTGGTTTTCTTGCCCCCTTCTTCCCCAGTGTTCTCTAAGCTTTAAGATGTGTGTGTGTGTGTGTGTGTGTGTGTGTGTGTGTGTGTGTGTGTGTGTGTATGTGTATAGTTAATAACAGATATATCGTTGTTGTTGGTTTTACTCTTTTGGGGGCCCACCACCCATCTCCAAATAAATACACACATAGACCATAGACTTATTATTACGTATAAATGCCCAATCTTAGCTTGGTTTGTTTCTTGCCAGATTTTCTTAACTTTAGCCCATCTACCTTTGCCTCTGGGCTTTTACCTTTCTCTATTTTTGTACACCTTTCTTTCTTACTCCATTGCTGGTTGTGTAGCTGGGTGGCTGGTCCCTGATGTCCTCATCTCCTTATTCTCTTGCTCTCTCTTTCTCTCCTCCCAGATTTCTCCTTCTATATATTCTCCTTGCCTGCCAACCCTGCCTGTCCTTTCTCTTGCCTTGCTATTGGCCATTCTTTATTAGACCATCAGGAGTTTTACAGTAACACAGCTTCACAGAGTTAAACTGTGAGGTTAAACTGCAAATACAACATAAACAAAAATAACACACATTTAAACAATATTCTACAACATACCATCTATAGCTGAGCACCTACAGGCATATATTTCTATCAGTTTGAACAGTAATGCATCTATGCATTAACCACTGCTTACTGCAACAAGAAGCTTATTTGACTCAGGTTGTGGGCAGCACAAATATATGGGTATACGCATAAGGGCGGAACTAGAGAGATAGATCAGTGGTTAAGAGAGCTGGCTGCTCTTCAGAGGACCCAGGTTTGATTTCCAGCACCCACATGATGGCTAATAACTGTAACATCAATTCCAGGGGACCTCTTCTGAACTCCTTGGACACCAGGCATGCATGGGGTATACCTACATCTTTGTCATTGTCATACCAGTGGGCAGATCTTGCCTGGAAGATCAATATTGTAGCATGCAGGGTCCAGTGCTGGGTGTCCTTCCAATCCCATCAGTGTACATAGCACCTTCCAGCACTTTGAAAGCCAGTTAGCAGCAAGAGAGTTTCCTGTTCAGTTCAAAGTTATAAGAAATCATTTGGCCAGACTTTGTGGTTCACATTTTAAGACCCAGTACTCAGAAGGCCGGGGCAGATAGATGATTCTCTTCAGTTCCAGACCCTGTAGGGATACTTAGTGGCACTCGTTCTTAAAAAACAAAAACAAAAACCAACAACAACTACAAAAAAAGATAAATAATTTATCTTAAAACAGTGGAACTGAGCCTGATGATCTTTGAAGTCATGTATGTCTCCCCATAAGAGAAGAATGGAATTTCACTTCTATACAAGGGAGAGGCTATGCCAATGATACAGTCACATCTCATCTGTGTCCGAGGAAAGGCTATTATTGATGGCTTCACTGGCCCTCACTCCCTGTCTTTGTGATAAATCACAACAGCTTTCAACTCTGTCTTTTCATGTCCTTATCCTGGAAGGGAGTGTCTCAGGTCACATGACTGTAAAACCTCACAGTCACAAACTAAAGCAGGAGATATAAATAGGATACCATAATTTTGGCAAACTTATATGCCTGCAAGATACTGGGATAGATTTATTAACATTTATATTTTTTACTATCTGGAAACACTGTGTTGACATCCTTGTCTATTACCAAATTATTTCCCCATTTTCCTAAATCTGTCTTAAATTGGTGTCTTCTCTTGGGTCCCATTCAATGGCCTTCTAGGTGGATCAACTCTGAAGCCCTCAGAATCCCAGACAAGTAAAGGTGAGTGAGGGAACTGGGAGTAGAGGTGGGACCCATGACATTGCCCAGGCTGGTACGATGTGGAGCTCTGGAGGGAACTGGTATATATGATCACTAGTGTAGACAGTACCTAGGTGCAAAGTAGATAAAAACCACTCCCTTTGAAGAGTCGATTTGTGATGGTGCCACTTGATACTCACTAGGGATTAGCAGAGAGGCTGTAGACTACAGAGCACAGGCTGAGTAAGCACTCCAGCTCTCTTTGGGTGGCATAGAATATGCAACCATCCCTCACAGTCCTGTTGCTGATTTTCCAGGGCTTCTTTGCTCTTGGCTTTTCTGCTTGGAGCTTTCTCAAGACCGCTTGCCACAGAGTTCTCTTTAGATGAAAGGCCACCTTTCTTCCTTGCTGTTTTTCCCACCTTAGAAGTTCCTTTTGGTCTTTTATATCTGTTAAATAAATGCCTGTCAGGAGTTGATTCCTCACCCAGCATTCTTGTTTTGTACTTTTAATTTTTATTTTTTGATAATTTCATACATGAGTACTGTATTTATATAATTTTCATCCCCATCCTCTCCAATTCCTCCCATCCCCCCATCACTCCCTATAAAATTCACTTCTTTTAAAATTATTATTGTTATTGCACACACACACACATGCATCCTACTGAGTTCATTGTGCTGTTGGCATGCACATCTCTCTAAGGCTGACCACTTGAGATTGGATGACCAATATGGGGACTGGTCCCTGGAAAATTCAGATTCTGCCTATCTCCATAGCCATTGATGGTCTGAAGCTCTTCATCTATGGGCTGGGATTTGTGAAATGTCCTCATTCCAGGTTGGTATGTCAACTGGCATTGTCATTATGCAAGTATTGTTTAGGCAACCATAGTGTTGAGTCTTTGAAGAAGCATCTTCTCTGTCATGCCTAGAAGACACTATCTCCCAGCAGCATCCTGGTTCTTTGACTCCTACTAGTTTTTCTACCCCATCTTTTGAGATATTTTCTTTGTCTTGTGTGTAGTTGTTGCATTGTATATGTACCAGTTCAGATTGAACACCCCTAGTCCCTTAACCTTTGTATTTTGACCAGTTTGGATCTCTGCAATAGTCTTCTCACTCCCTATTTGTAGCAAACTTCACAAAAAATTCCCCAAACTCAGCATTTCCAGCTCTTTCCTCTTGTTTCTCAACCCTGCTTTAGTTATTGCCTCTCCCCAAGACTACTAATGCCTCCTTTGCCTAGGTCTCTTAGGCCTTCCCTCATGCCCAGGCTAGTGGGTAGTTTTCAGTTCTTATTATAATTAAACTGTCAAGAGCCCATGTTCTTTTTTTCTGCAGTGTTTCATTGTGAACAGTTGAAGGCGTACAGGAAGTCTGACAGGACTACAGAGTGGACCCCATGCACCACACGTCCCATGTGTGTAGCTAGTGCTTTACATTCCTGTTGTTTTCTTAGGCTTGGTTGACTTCTTCCACCGAGGTCTGAACATCAGGTCATTGTTCAGTTGTTAGAAAAACTCTCCTTTCAGTGGAGCAACAGGAAGAGAGAAAAGACCAAGTGTGGCACAAAAGGTAGTCACCTCAAGTGGTCAGGCTTCACAGGTGGCTGTCCAATATACATGCTTTCCCAACTGCTTTTGTTTAAAAGTATTTTTGTATAAAATAATATTTTGTACAAAATGATTCTTTTTATTTTTAAATTTCAGGAACATCACAGAATACTGATACACCTGAGCCGACAGAAATCTCTCATGAGTTCTTGGCACGTTCTGCAGTCCCCAGGTTCAACTCTTGGAATGCAGGTATCTGGGATTACACCATGAACTGCCCTGTAGTTTCTTCTTATTATAGCCTCTTACACCTTGAGACCATTAGGGCAATATCTTGATCATAAGCCAAGGTGACACATGGTAGGTGCCTGGTGACAAGAGTTACTATCAAGGGTTAGAATATCTGTGGGCAAGCAGTCAGTTTATCTACAGATTACAGGTTGCTATGGGTCGGTAAATCTATAGGTGATAGGTGTTGTTATAGTGACCATTACATCCATAGTGTAAGAA